GAAAGTACAGTGATAAATAATGGTCTGGAGCTTGGGGAAAGTGAAACATATCCGTAACAGCTTATGGTGTAAAAAGGTGTCTATGCTAGCAGATAAGTAATGTGAGAAATAGTTGTACCTTAAATCTGCACCCTTTTAAGATATCCTAATTTTTCCTTTGGGCTTCAAGGCACATGTCCCTTCACATCAGGTTCATAGTCTTGAACCCATCCCAAGAACTGGACCCTGAAACACTTTCTTTCAAAAGCTGAACAGGAGTTTGATTGTCTTTGAGGAAGAAAGAGCTGTTTCCAGTCTCTTTTACACTCCACAGTGCACTCCTCTATCCTTCCCTCACACAAACAGAAGTATTAATCAGAACAGACTTCAGTTATGTTTCTTTGCCACTGGATGATAGGAGTTGTGAACGTTCTGGCATTGTATCTCAATCAATCTGTAACTATTGCTGGCAAAATGGAACAGCTACAGTAGAAACAAGTGAAACCAATCAGTGGGAACAGAAGAGCTGAGATTAAGTTTTACTTATGGAGTTATTCACTAATGAAAAATTGAAATATTTCTAGGGTGTCAAAATAGCCTCAAGCATAGGAACCCCCTACTCAAAAGGCACACAAAAATTCAGGACTCATTTAGTTCCACTTCCTAAGTATTTGTGATGCAGTATTACATGACATAGCGGCTAAATTTAATGTAAAATGTTAATGATAAAAATAACATATATGGTACACATTTAGATGATCTGAAATAGAGCATTTTGCAGGATCATGTGACAGGAGCAATTAGTGTCTTTTAGATTATCTTCCAAAATTTTGCATACATATTAATAAAGATGTTAAAGTTAATTCAGTAATACCCTTTTTTCCCCCCATTTTCATACATTACAGATGAAAAATAAAGAAAAATGTAAACAGAATAAAAGACTTTTTGAAAGAAAGGTGTAAATTTTGTAGATAATTGGAAAACTTTAAGGGAGAAAATGTAAGAAAGACATAGTATCTGTGTGCCTGAATGCTGATGAAGTGACTGAAAAAATTGCTTTGTAGAACGGCTAAAAAATGTGTAGAAGAAAAATAAGATGAAATAATATGGTTCAAATGGAAAAAGTTTAGTGAGAGTAATACTATAAAAAAGTAAAAGTAAAAAATCATCAGTTTACTGGAGAAAGAAGAAATGTCATGCTACATATAACAATAATTATTATGTTCTTAGGCAAATCAAGAGAAAATAAGAAAGGTGAAAACACATTATCTTGACAATTTGGAACTGGTTTAATAAAATATGTAAAGAAAAGTGGGCAGATAAACGATAAGAGAAAAATAATTGAAAAGCATACTGTTACAATAAGAATCGTACTTGAAATAAAGAATGGAAAAAGTTCTACCATATATGTCATTATACATATATATCTGTGTGTATATATATCTCAGCTCTTATTTAACTTCAGAACAAACATCCAATGCTTACTGTGTAGAAATCATAATAATGACATATATATTATGCGGTAGGTGGAGCTGTGATATGGAAAAAAGTTGACTGCTTGATTATGATGAATGTTGCATAGAAGACAGGAAGACAATGAAGGCAACAGGTGATTGTTACTGCTTTGTAAAGCATGCCAGAGGCAGCAACCTGTAGGCCTGTAACTGTCTAATTGTTGCAAGGTAATTTAAAATGATGATGCAGTCATATAGTGTTTGTCATTAAATGAAATGGAAGTAATTTTTTCCACAGGAATGTCAGATCATGAACTATAAACTGCATAAAAGGTATTTCCCCTGTGATGGCTCTGGGTCCATCAGAAACTACAAGTGGCCAAACACTGCATCAGCAGAGACACTGAATTATTTGAATGATATATGGGGTGGGAGTTGAAGATCCAATTCCATCGAAATCTCAGAGAAGACCCCTGAAAAGCTCTGGAAGAAAATACCAAAAATCTTTATGGAAAGTAGCCAGTTTTACAACATATACTAACTGTGGTAGCCCAGCTGCCCAGGCAGGATGACCAACTGGGGCAGAGGATTTTGCTACTAAGCTCTTTGATAGCTTTTGTATGGAGTAGAGTTCTTTGTTGAAGGATTTGCTTCTTCCCCAGGATTTACCCCTAAGTCATTGACTTGAATTAAGAATTATACTATTCATAGAAATGACAAAGGAGATTCTTCTAACTGTGTATCCTACAGAAGAGCTGGGGAAGGACTTTTTACTAGGGCATGTAATGACAGGACGAGACGGAATGGATATAAACTGGAAGAGGGCAGGTTTAGATTAAACATTAGGAAGAAGTTTTTCACTTTAAGGGTGGTAAGGCACTGGAACAGGTTGCCCAGAGAGGTTGTTGAGGCCCCATCCCTGGAGGTGTTCAAGGCCAGGCTGGATGTGGCCTTGGGCAATCTGGTCTAGTGGGAGGTGTCCCTGCCCATAGCAGGGGGGTTGGAGCTCAATGATCTTCAAGGTCCTTTCCAACCTAAACCATTCTGCGATTCTATGATTCTAAAATGATTGTTGTAATGATTTCAAATTCTCTGTGTTAGGATCACTATTTGGGCTTTTCACTCTGAGAAAGTGACCACACGTTATCTGCTTCCAGTTATCCCTGTTCTACTAGCCTATTCGGGGTAGGTGTAAACTTTTTCTCTTTTTATTCTTTCCCTTCAATATCCACTTTTTTGTGGGAGGGATCTGTTGCATACATGTGCTTACTGTAATAGGTTTAATTCCATTTATATCTTGTGGTTAGTAAATTTCCCTTACTAGAGTAACTTTTATTATCCTGAGTTCTTGAAACAATTTTTTTTACTAAATTTAAGTAAAATTTGATTTGAAAGAAATATCAACCCCTTTCTGCACATGATTGTCCAATACTTATTTCCTAATATTTACTGAATGTGAATGGAAGAAGATGTGTCTTTTGGAACAAACATTATTTGTTCGTAATTCTTCAAACCTGTGCTTTCCCCTGTGTCTGTGGAAATCCTGAACCGAGAAATTTTAACCTAAGACTCCCAGATGGTTCAGCCATGTGTTTTACTATAATATCCCTCCATCTACAACTTTTTAGATGCTTGGCTTTCAGTTTCCTGGGTTGAAAAGATTCTAAGAAGACCCGTGCTATTATGAAATTGAACCCATATATATTAGCTGATCCCTTTTCTTTTTACCATGCGGTGTAGTCATTGAATACATTGGAGTGGAGCAAATTTTACAGGGTACATAATTTGATCATGTAAAAAGTCCTAACAATACTGGGTTGGTTTACTGTTCTTAAAAGAAGTAATTTTTGTAAATTTTTTTTTGTTCTCATTCTTTGTTTTACCTTTAAAAGGTACATTAAGATTTGTAGTTTTCTTTGATGGTTCAGGGCTGAGGGCAGATAACTGTCAAAGTCTGGTAACTTTTTACTGTGCTTTAGCATAATCTCCAGGGTGCTTAAACAAAGCTGTAACTCTCTTTCCTTATTCTCACATGAAAGAATCTGCATCATTGTCCCCATTTTCCAGGTGGCACATCTGAGGAAAAAAGTTGAGGTAGTTTTACCATGGTGGTCTACAGAATCACAGTCAGCCATTATTAAAATTTGGAGTTCCTGTCCTCTAGTCCTGCACTTAGGCAAATATAACAAAAAATTTTCAAAATATGATAAAGTAATTTTCAAAATATGATACAGCAATCTTATTCATATGGGATCTAATCAAAAGTGCTTTGATGTCCATCCAGGTCTCTCAGGCTCATAATACTGTTCTTCAGGTTTTCGTTTCAGGCAAATAAACAGTACCCATTTCTCAAATTAAAAAACTTAAACCCTTGGAATAAGGTCAGGCCTCTCTCCCATGTCTCTTGACACTGACATTATCAAATTTATAGCCTCACTAGAAAAGAAATCAGGAGAAACAGATTTCAAAGGTGAGAGTTCTTATGTGTTTTTAATAATCTACATGATGAAAAAGGAAAACTACATTGTTACTTAACTGGATTCTAGAAAAAAAAGTGTTTAAAGCCATTCAGATAATTGCTCAGCGGGATTTTCTTTTATCTGCTTTTAAAAACACAGGACAAGCAGCTTGTATTGAAACCTTTTTTCTATAACTGTAATAGATGCTTTTCTATACAGCTGTATTCTTTTCTAGCTGTTAATAGTATCAGTTTTGGAAGGCCTTCAGTTTTGGTGTGGGTTTGGGTTTTTTTTCAGCAATGCAGGCAATCTCTGTGTTGGAACATTTACCTGCAGCATTAATTCGGAAGTAAGTGTTAGTTTGGTTTGACCCTAGAAAATTAAGATGTCATGGCATACAAAGAGAGGAATTTGAAATATGGTAACTACAGGTTTCAGCAGCAAAATTCAAGGTGACATCAGAACAAAACTTCTGAAGTCTTAATAATTTGTCATAAAAAGCATTACAAGGTTTGACATGTATGAAAAACCAGATTAGTCTGAAAAATAAGTAGATGTTCCTAGGACAGAGAGGAATGCCTGATTGATAAATGAGACATATTGTCTTCACAATAAAATGATTTTTAATTAAAAGACAAGACTTATTTAAAGGGAACTTCTGAAATAAGAGAAGAGGAAATCTTATCAAAGAGGCTTAATTCAACAAAAAGCCCATAAATGTGTTGTTCTGATCC